ATTATGAATACTATATGTACTATACATACTAATTATGGATACTATACGTAGTATAAATAATTAAAAAATATATTATGAATATTATAGGTACTATATTTCTACAAAGCAAAAATATTAACATGGTTAAACGTATGTGATCTGATGCAGTTCCATTATCATCGGAAGATTATAAATTCATTATGCAATATCGTGATGCAAAACCTAAAACTGAGGTTTTAAAGGAATTAAGAAAAAAATACCCTATGACGAATGACCGTTTTTATAGAATTTGGAGAAGGCAAGAAGTTGGTATGATAGAATGGTATCGGCCTGTATCAAATGAGTCGAAGACTCGAAGCTCAGCTTCTTCAATAGCATCCCTAAATCAGAATTTATCTATACCTAAATCGCACTTACCAAATATTGACCAAGCTAGTATAGTTGAAAATTCTAATGGTCAGACTTCAGCGTTTGAAACGCATCAAATTAACAAGGATCATGGTTCTTCAAACCTACATCTAGATTCTAATGTTACTTCTGATAAGCGGGTTAAAAATAGAAAACTGAGATCTAAATCTGTTCAAATTTCTGACTTACCTAATAACGGAGCTAGTGCCAGTAGCAGAGCCACGAGTTTCCAACTCAAGGCACATGTTATCAATGGGGTTGACACGGTCAATAAACTGACAAAAAAAGTAGGAGGAGGAGATGGCATGTATGTTATAATCGAATGTGAACGTAGAGAAGCAGAAGAAGCCGAACGCGAGTCTGAAAGATTTTTAAATCTCAACTAATCTATCTTCGCCTTTTCTATATCAGTATTGACAACCTTCTCATAAAAGTCTTCAGGCTTATTTCTATGAAGTCGCAATTTTTTATTGAGTTCAATTAATTTAAACCTGAATTCAAGTACTTCATATAGCGATTTTTCCAGTTCCTCATAGCTCATGCGTTTTTTTTTAAAGTCAGATGGCAGAATCTAAGCTAAAACCCGCAGGAGCATTCCATTCCTCAAATGGTACATTATCATCCTCATCCCCATCTACCTCCTGTGAAATTTGATCAGATAGCAGAGGTTTACCATCCTGAGATGTAGTTACGTAGTTCACTTCGAGCTTATTTTTGACTGGATGCATATTAACTGGAATGGAATGTTCTTTACCATTGTATACGAGTTTCAACACACGCTTTGATGCAAGTAAATCGTAATCATATTTATCGAGCAATGTATTAAATAAAATTAACATTGGTTTGCGATACTTAACGACTGCAAAATCAGAATATATTGTGCAGCCCGGAGCAAAAGTCACAGAAACATTACGAACGATCCCAATAGATTCAGTATGGGTGGTAGCAATTCCACTGAGATCGTGTTTTTCTTTTGTATCAATTACTAACTTGGCACGTTTAGCGATATCTTCGGTCATAATCAGAAAATTAGCACAAGAATCAAGACCAGCAGCCGGAATTATTAAACGTTTGATTTTACATTCTGCAGTTGCAATATCTGTGGCTGGATCCCTTCTCTAAACAAAATCAATCTCCATAGGATCATTCAATATATCTTCCTCCCCATCCGAATCAGGTACATCTGGAACTGGTTCCCTGTAATTCGTGAAATCCGGGACGATTAAGTTTTTGTTCTCAGGTTTAGCGTGAGCTGGCACATTCGTGCTAAGTTTTTCCAACTGATGCGGGGATAAGACCTTTTCGAGTATTTCTAATAAAATTCGTTGAATATTCTGCTCAAGGGTAACTTTTTTTTGTTTTACGTGATTTGGACTTCTTCCCAGAAGATGGTTTATGTGCCTTGGGACTAGCTCTGCTATTCAAATTATCCCCCCCCTCCCGTTTTACTTTTTTTTTGTCTTGGAAATATGAACTTTGATATCGCTTTCAGACTCAGATTCAGAGGAGGTATTCTCAACATCAGACCCTGTCTCAGAATCGGATCCAGAACCGCTATCAGAAGAATTATTAGTATCTGAACCTGAATCTAGGGTAACTTTATTAACATTACCTTTCTTCTTAGACCTGCTCTTTTTATTTTTGCAATTGCGGGAATTATGGCCTGGTCTACCACACTTTGAGCACCTATGCTAGGACGATTTTTTCTTAGCTTTTTTAACGGCTTTAGCTATATGCAATTTTAATTGTCTTTGTGTGAGATTAGCTAGCTCTTCATCTGAATCGACTTCGACATTTTTTGAAGCACTCCCTCCATTTTTCTTCGAGAATTTATCTGATAATTTTTTATAAAGATCGTTGACTAGAGATTCCATAATTTGACTAGCCGAAGGAGTTGGGTTTATAAGATCACGATAAATAAATTTTTCTGAATACACCCCATAACCGTCTGGAGGTCTTTCTGATATATATTTGTCTAATACTCTAGAATAATCGTTAGGATCAGATTGTCTTTGCTGGAGGTGTTGAACCTGTGTTTGCTGGGATTGGGGGGATGCCATAACTGATTTTATCAAATTTACAAGTTCCGTTTCAGTTCTACCTGTGTTATTTGTTATGTAAGGTTCTTTCGTGCTAGCTTTAGATTGTGATCGAGAATTGACAGGGTGTGAATCAGGGTTATACTCACCTAACATTAATTCAGCCTTTTGCCTTTCAATTTCTTCTAATTTTGGGAGTAAAGCGGAAATTGGATTTTTGAGACCAATACGTCGTACTTCTAATTTATTATCAGGAGAAAGTCCCTGGAAGAATTGTTGCCTGATCATTTCTTCTTGATTTGCTTCTGGAAGAGCTGAATAGGCGAGCTTAACCATTCTTTTTAAATTTGCATAAAATTGACCCACAGGTTGATTCCCTTGAGTGATATTGTGGAACATTACTTTCAATTTTTCAGCAGTTATTGTGGGATAATTAGTTCTAAACTAGTATAGTACTTGCCCAATACGAATGCCAGCAGCTATAGTATTACCTCCTGCATTAGCATTGGGGGCATTGGGTGTTAAATCCGTTGGTCGTCCTCCAGATGTTAGCCAGTCTTCATCAAAAACGGTATGTGCTGGTACTAATGGTGTAGCAATCGCATTATTGTTAGCTGGTGCAGTATTCCTTATATGAAGAGCCCCGCCTCTAAATTGATTAGCATTAATATTACGCAGTGCATTATTGTCGACCAACCCATTAATAGCGTGAAGATTAGCCAAGTTGGTATTGTCACTAATGTTCTGCAATTCCCAGTTTTTATTTTTGGGATTAGTCTCATACCAATCTTTCGCATCATCTTTCAAACAAGTTTCAAAAAGACCATGAATTCTTATTCTGGTTCGAGCGTTTGCAAGCGGATCGAGTTCAGATGCCTCACAATATTGTCTAAAATCGCTAATCCATTTCTCAAGGTCTTCCCCGGTTCCTCCGTGAAATGGTTTTGGTGCATATCCTGCCATTCTTATATGTTGATTGTTTATAGGTGTATTATTCTGGAGCGTAAAAATTTGTTGATTCAAATTCAAAATTAATTGCCGTGAATTGCGCTCTCTATTTTTCCACTTGATATGACTTTCCTTGCGATCCTTGAATTTGTTATAATATCTATTAAAGAGTCGATCTCGATTGTATTCTAGTAATCCTTTATCAGCCTGGCATTGTTGTAATTGTTGTCCTCGCAAACGAT